GATTCTGGTGCATTCCTTGACTTTTTTTTTTTTTTTTTTTTTCAACAATTTATATAGCAGTGCTCGATGGCAGCCCACTTGCTATCTACAAACACGTACGCTACGCGGCCTGGGTACTAAGTAAACTACTAAAAGACGTCCGCCCCCCCAACCACGAGCCTTATGGCTCAAACGCCTAAACTCCCATAAAGCCAGACCCACCTCGCGAAAACGGTGACGTGGGATAAGGGGAAGGAGACCATCGAGGCCCCGCTAAACCCCAGAGCCGTCGGACACTGTTCGGAGGCCACACAGCGCAAATGAAATAAGAAAAGCACCACCTGGGAGGTGGCAGGGTGTCTTAAGGCCGACAAGCCAGAGATGCGCCTGCCCGAAACCAGACGCAGAAAGTTAGCAGTGCCGCAACCCACTAAAATAGCGGCCGCAAGCACAAAGAAATAGCGGTAGGTGCAGGTCTTCGAACCCTAGGGCTCAGTGGTGTCAATTCACCATAAATCCCCCAAAAGGAGGAACAACCCCGCCCACAACAATTATCCGACACCCGAGGGGTCTCGGTTGAAGCCAAACGCCGTGGGGTTGTACTTCATAAAAGATGCAATATCCCCAAGAAAGCGGGGGTAATGCACGGAGTAGCGATCACGACAGCGAAAGAGAATGTGCTGGTGGGACTGCAAAGCAGCCCCGCAAGTGCAGCCATGAGGCTCATTAATCTTGAAGCGACGGTAGTACGCTCCAATGGGCGCGTGGCCAGTTATACACCGGCAAACGCGGGCGAACTCAGTGATACTGTGTCCAAAGGTTGAAAGCCAAGGTCCCCCATTGAGGTACGATGGCTGTAGCGGCCGCCCGTCAGGCTGTTGAAGCTCTAAAAATTCAGAGCCTTGGTAAGTTGGGTCCTGGAAAGTGGAGTTCCACGAATCCAGGACTGAGTGTGCCGCTCGAGAGCGTAGCGCGTCTATAGAGTTGTCCGTCTTTCGACGTCCAACCCTGACTTTGAGCTTGGTGACGTACTTGTGTGCTTCACCATGGATATCCCACCGCAGAGCGGATGGGACAGCATCCGACGACTTTGGGGTTTAGCGGGGCCTTGATGGTCTCCTCCCCTTATCCTGTGTCACCATTTTCGCAAGGTGGGTCTGGCTTTGTGGGAGTTTAGGCATTTGAGCCACAAGGCTCGTGGTTGGGGGGGTGGATGTCTTTTAGTAGTTTACTTAGTACCCAGGCCGCGCAGCATATGTGTCTGTACATAGCGGGCTGCCATCGAGCACCGCTATATAAATTGGTGATCAACACTGTATTTAAGCAGGGTATACTCACATGTCAGGACTGTGATTATACAGTCCACCCACAGAGAGGCCGTTGCCGTGTGTGCCGGGGCTCAGTGCTGTGGGCAGGACCTGTCAACACAAGCAAACAACACAGGAAACAATGCCTGAGCATTGTTCCTTGTCATTTTCAGTGTTCCCACCACCGTTTTCAATGGGGAAAAGGTGCCAACGATGAGGAAACATATTTCCTCATCGTTGTGCACCATTTCCCCCATCGTCGGGGGGCGGAAAGGGGTGGATTGGCCCAGCTGCGTTTGGATGATGTGGCCTTTTTTCGGGTTCTGTAGCTATTTTTAGATAATATTGTAATCACCATCATCCCTTGTAACCTCACCGTTGTCTGTC